AGGAATGCCCTTTACAGTGACTGTCAGAGACCACAGCCCAGGAGTACATGGACACGATTTCCTCAGGTGGGGACCCAGGGGGCTTCCCACTCTTTTAGGACTAGAGTAGAGCAAGGTGTGGAAGGGGACTGGACATCTGGTCTTTTCTGCTCTTTCTGAATACCACCTTCTTTTCAGGATGGGATGTGGAGAAGGGAAACTCTGGAGGGATCCAGCCAGACTTGCTCATTTCCCTGACAGCACCCAAAAAGTCTGCAAGCCAGTTTACTGGTCGCTACCACTACTTGGGGGGTCGTTTCGTGCCTCCTGCTCTGGAAAAGAAGTACCAGCTGAACCTGCCACCCTACCCTGACACCGAGTGTGTCTATCGTCTGCAGTGAGGGAAGGCGGGCGGGCATTCTTCCCAATAGATTTAGTTCCTCTCTCCCAGAACTGTGGAGTCCTGGGAGCTCTTCTGGCAATAAAGGTTAAGAGATGGCAGGAGCCACAGAGCAGCACTGGAGATGTGGTGCCCTCTCTCTGGGGGAACAATATGCAAGAGGGGTTGCTATGACATTTGGGGGCAATGACAATTCACTTTCAGATGCTAAAAAAGGCTCCCAAGTGAGGTGTGCTGTCCTTTACACACACACAATTCTTATCAGGGATGCAGACAGGGAGCTGGTGAGGTTCTCTAAACTTTCTCCTTCCACTTAACAGCATAGCAAGACTACAGGAAGTTAACAGAAGGAATTTCTTCAGAGGCCTCCAAGGAAACTAACTTGTATTCAGGATCTTCTCAGGCTGAGAATGGAGATGATGGTCAGGACTTGTAATATAAGCTTGGAGACCAAGCTGATGTTTATTCAATTTGGTATAGTTAGAAACTGGCAACCTATGGGCTGAATTTGCATGTCTTTCTTAGCCTTCACAAAATTAAAAAATCAGTACATTTCCCATAGGTCTACATTTTCAACTTCTTTTAGCCAAGATGCCCCTTCAGAGGCTGTCTGCATTCCCGTTCCCACAGCCCCCAGCATCCTTGTCCCTTAGCTGCCCGGGCCCTGCAGGTGCTTGAGCTCACCATCTCTGGGTTAGATGCTGTAAGGGGGAATGTGCCTGCCCCCTCAAGTCAGACACAGCACTACCGCTCTCCTCTCAGTGGACTACTGTTCCAGAGCTGTTTCCTCCTTGGAAGGGACTCCTCACTGAGAGGGTACACAAGACCTGCACCAACTCAGGTCCCTGAGGCTTCAACTCCTGAAGAGGAATCGATCAGGCTGCATCTTGACCTGGCCTTCAGTTTCTCTTCTTCTGTTTCTTCTTTTTTGCTCTCTGGTCAGTGTGGACTCCTGGTCTTTCCTCCTCTGGTTGCTTCTGCCTCTTCTTACCTCTGCCACTTGAGCCCACGTATGCCTTGCTCTCTGCTGTCCTAGTCCTGCCATCTTCCTCCTCTCCTTTATCCCCTACGTGCAAGACGTCCTCCTCCTCCTGATGCCGCTGTCTTTTCTTCTTGCTTCTCCTACTTTTCCGATGACCGCATGATCTGCTTTCTGCTTCTCTGGTCCCACCATCTACAACAGCCTCCTCCATGTTCAAGTCTTCTTCCTCATGCTGCCTCCTCCTCTTCTTCCTTTTCCTGAGGGACTGATCCGTTTGTTCTCTGTTTTTCAATTCCCCAAGCCCACCTGTCCCTGTGGTCTCTTCCTCATGCCTTACAGCTGTTCCCTCTCTCTCATCTGTGACACTTTCTCCTTGATGCCGCCTTTTCTTCTTCTTGCTTTTCCTGACACTCTGGTCAGTGTGTTCTGGGTACTCTTCTGCATTCCTTTCAGTTGCCGTGGCCTCTTCCTCCTCTTTCTGCTTCCTTTTCTTTTTCTTTTTTTGTGGGGGCTTGCTCTCAGACTGCAGTTGAGGGACCCCAGGGTCCTGGCCTTTGAGACGAGCCAGGAAGGCCTGCTCCTGGGCCTCTAACCGAGCAAGCTTAGCCTTCATCGTGATCCCAAGACGGGCAGCCCTGAAATAGATGGGGCCCAAGTCAGAGGGAGGGTATTGGGGAAAATAGGCCTAATCTCTGAGACTGCAGGGAAAGTTCGTAAGGGAGGAGCTGCCTGTCTTCAGGCAGCTTCAGAAATGGGCAGAGAATAGGAATCACTTTCTCTGGGGTGAAAAGAGTGGCACAGGGGTGGGCTTGTGTTGGGGAGAAAAGAAGGGAGCCCAAGAAGCTAACCGCTACTTACTTGTGTGCTGTTCGCCCCTCACAGGCTTGGAGCATCATCTCATCAGTCAGACTGTTGGGGAAGGGCAGGAATCAGGAATTACAAACAGATCTGGTGGAAAGCCTTGACCTCTCCTCCCCTCTAAAACATTCCTTCAGCACTGAGTTCCTATTCAGGACCTGGCACTTTTCTAGGTGTAGGGGATACAAAGATGAGTACAACACTTTTCCACCCTGACGAAGCCCACAGTCAAGCATTACACTTGGTCCTTTCTTTTGAGATTGGAAGGCATCTCCTCCCACATGCCCCTGGCACTAAAAAGAAGTCTCACATCTTTGGAGGCTTGGACCCCTGGCTGTCGTCATCACTGCAGCTTTCCAAGTCCTTGTCTGGCTTCTCCCCACTTGAAGTCAGTGTGGCCGTCTAGAAGGAGGAATCATGGGGGTAGACAAGGCCCACTTAGCACCACCACCATTGCTCTTCCCTCCTGGAAAGGGAAGAGCAGTGGTGCCACTGCCACCCTGAACAGCCACTGACACAAATCTGTCAGCCCCCAACATCGCTCCTTGCAGCCCCACACAAGAGATGTGCCAAAATGCATGTATCAACTTGGGCGGGAGGTGGGCTGCAGTTGGGGGCGGGTGGGGTGGGGGCAGTCCTGGCCTCCCTGGCTCACAGCCAGCTAGTGGGCAGAACAGGAAGGGAGGAAGAAGTGCCTGGGTCATCAGGTCTTCACAGTGGGACAAGTGCCCCCTGGCGGCCATCCCACGGTGCCAGTAACGGACAATAAAGATGCTACTTTTCATGCCCCCTCCCCCCATACCTATGCACAGTACTTTAACCAGGTTAAGAACCTACTTTGGGCTAAGAGGTTGGGGATAGAGTGGAATAAGGACGAGATGGTTCCAGCCCAGATGGAATCTACATGGTTGAGGGGTAAAGGAATATGGCAGAACATAGAAAATGATGATGAAAGTGTTGTCTGTGCTAGAGGAAGGGTACCCTACTCAGGCTTCAGGGTTTGGGGAATAGTTTCTACAAGGAGCTGAGCCCTGCAAGACAAGAAAAAGGTCAGCAGGTAAAGGGGCAAAGGAAGCAGAATGTCTCAGGCAGAGGGAATAGCATGTGCAAAAACTTGAAAGTGAAAAAACATGGTACCTTGAAAAGATTCAGATTCCATCTGGCTAAAGTGTAGAGGTCCTGAGAGGTGGTGAGAGACAGGCTAAGAAAGAAGGCAGGGATAAGGCATGAAGGGCCATGTGAGCCAGTCTGACACATCTGGACTGTGTCACCCTAGGTCAAGGAGGAGCCCGTGACAGAATGAAATCTGTGTTTTTCAGAGAACACTGGATCCTTTGTGGAGGATGAAGTAATCGTGGTGGGGACTGAGACTAGAGTGAGGGGTCTAGTTATGAGGCTGTGAAAGAAATGACGCAGGAGAGGATGATGGTCTGAAATGGGGCAGAAGATGGCCACAGAGATGAATGGGAAGGATTTGCTAGATAATACATAGAGCCTTTAAGGACATAATAGAGGATCGTTAAATGTTAGCTCCCTTCTATTGGCGGGCTAGAAAAGGGGAGTCTGAACACCTGGGTTCTAGTCCTGTCTGCCATTACTAGCCAACTGTGGGCTCTTCAGCGAGCCACTTTCCCCCCTTTTGGCCACATCTGCAAAATAAGGACAATGGGTCAGATGATCCCGCAGGTCTCCTCTGACTTTTAAGTCCTCTGAATTAGACATCCCCTCCCTGCCCTGCTCTGACAGCTCCTGACTGTGCCCCACCCCCCACTCCCCGTTGCTGCCCCCTCAGCCGATGGCAGGGATCCATTCAACCTGGAGATTTCAATTCTTGCTGAGGGTCTGGGCAGTCTAGGTAAGCAACAGCGAGGTTGGTCACAGGATCCCACTGTTAGGACAGTCCTGAGAATAGGTAGGGCGTACAAGGCAATTGTTCAGGCCCCAGGGGAGACCAGGGAAGGAAAAAGATGGGCCCTCTCACCCCCAGCCTCTAATACCTTCACAAACTTCTGATACAGCAAGTTGGGCTTGGCATGATCATGACGGGTGGTCTCCTTAGACAGGCACCTTATCTGTACGCCATCCTGTGGGGGAGTATCCGTGAGTGGGTGACATGCCATGTCTCCCTCACCCCCACATGTCCCAGGCCCTCTTGGTTCATGTGCCTACTATTAGAGCTTATACCTGCCCAGTTTTCACTACCAAGCTGGCCGCAGTCTTGTTGAAGAGATCATTCCACCAGCAGTTTGTGAACTCTTTGGCAGGGTCGTGTCCCACCTGCCACAGGAAGAAGTATGAACTCAGGACCCGTCATTCCCCTTCCTCCCCCTATCCTCAAGGCCCCCCTCTCCCATCCACACGGACCTCCCTCAGCCTGCCCAGTCTTACCCCATGAGTGTCCTGCTTCAGCGTTACCCTGAGGGCCTGGGTGATGCCATTCTCCTTCCGGCCCAGGCCTTTGCCTGCAAACACAGTGAATGATTTGGCTTATTCCACTCCTGCCCCAAGCCCTCACAAGGCACCCCCAGCACATGCCACTCCTTGCCATTCCACATACCTAACTTTGGGCATGCTCCGTCCATCTTGGAAGCCCTCCCAGTTGCACTCTTTCTAGCACCTCTCCATGCAGTCCTCCCATCTTTGAGCCCAAACTATTTCCTTCATAATTCTCTCAGGACAGAAGTCGTGTCTCTTCCTCCCCCTCCCAGTCCTCCGAACCACTTCTTTCTCACTATCCACCATCATATTTCTTCCCTTCTTCCCTTTTCTGGAAATGGCAGCAATTTTCTTCTGCAAATTTCCCTTTAAACTAACTTTCCTCCTCCAGTTGAATGGACTACATAGGGGTTAATCCAGGATGATGCCTCTTCCCTGGGCAGAGGGTAGTGAGGGAGTTGGGGGGGGGGATGTGAAAAGGGCCCCATGGGAATCACCTCGAGTCCATCCATGCTTTAGCAGCTGCTCCTCAGCAAACTTCATCCCATGACTCTTGACCTCTGGGGTGACGCTCATGGTGAGAAAAGAGTCACTGTCCTCAGGCCCTCACCAGAGAAGAGAAGGGGTCACTATCTTCCCTTTAAGAGGAAAAAAAAGAAAGTGCCCAAATCATCCATCAAATCCATCCTGACTGCTCTTGTAAGAATTCTTTCCTGAAGCTGGAGCAGAGACAGAGGAAAGAGGCCTGGTGCTTGGGGAGCTCCCTGTCCGACCACTGAGAGGTCAATGTCAACATGTTGAAAGCCAAGGAAACCTGGTAATAATAACACCCAAATGTATGGAGAACTCCCTACATGCCAGGCTGTGCTAAGATTTTACATGGACCATTTTGCGTACTCTTCCCAAGCCGGGAAGATTTCCTGAACTTTACATTCAGGAAAGTATTATATCCCTGTTTACAAATGAGGAAACTAAAGCCTAAAGAGGTTAGGTGACTTGCTCAAGGTCACACAGCTGACACATGTAGAACTCAAACCCAGGCAGCTTGTCTGCAGAGTCCCCACTCTTTACCACTACCTGATAACATCTCCCACGATTTATTACCACGTAAAAACAAAGCAAGGAGGTGCTTGTTAACCTGAGCTATAAGACAACAGTACTTAACAGAGCCCATATCCTATACCTGTGCCCAAGCATTTACACTGTCCTCTCAGTGTGAATGAAGGCTACATGCCTCTTCCCCACTGTCTTTCAGTCTTGTTGGGGCACCCCTTTTGAAACTGTCCAGCTTAGGAAGGGCACTCTTATTGAGCATTTAAAGCGTAACAGAGGGGTTACACATATTGCTATACTGTCTCATTAAATCCTGACAGTCCTGTGAGATACACCTTATCCTTATTTTACAAAGAGTTTTTTGCCTGGGGTTACACAGCTGTTAAGAGATGGAGCTGGAGTATGAGCTCAGGTTGCCTGACTCCACAGTGGCCCACTTTCTATCACATTCCCAACTACAGTCATCCCTCAGTATCAGCAGGGGATTTGTTCCAGGACCTGCTGTGGATAGCAAAACCCATGGATGCTCAAGTCCCATACTTAGCCTTCCGCATCCCAGGATTCAACTAACCACTGATTATGTAGTACTGTAATATTTATTGAAAAACTCCACATGTAAGTGGACCCATGCAGTTCAAATCTGTGTTGTTTGTCACAGCTGTAGTTGCATTTGTTTAGAGTTGTTCAGGTGTTCCTCATTTTGGACTCCACAATGGCACTGTCCAACTTATATACCAAATTTGCCTCTGAAACGGTTAAGATGGCTTATTACACAAGGCATTCAAAACTAAGACTATCGGGCTTCCCTGGTGGCGCAGTGGTTGAGAGTCCGCCTGCCGATGCAGGGGACACGGGTTCGTGACCCAGTCCGGGAAGATCCCACATGCCGCGGAGTGGCTGGGCCCATGAGCCATGGCCTCTGAGCCTGCGCGTCCAGAGGCTGTGCTCCGCAACGGGAGAGGCCACAACAGTGAGAGGCCCGCATACCGCAAAAACAAAAAACAACAAAAAACTAAGACTATCACTGCTGACTTGAGTTACTAAAGTTAACTTGTACTAAAATCATTTATTACAGGCATTGCAGACCATTTTAAAAGCTGATTAATGGCACTCCTGGAGTAACCCTCTGGCCTCCCCAAGTGACAACTCCAAAGGCTAAAACTTTCAGTTGTGTTTAAGAATGTCTAGTGAGTATGCTAATAAAAAAAAAAAAGTCAGACACATCAAGTCACCCCTCCTAAACATTACATATTAGGCTTAACAACGATGACCAGTCTGGTTAGGTATGTAGAGTAGCAAATTTAGGATGAATCACACTTCTATTCACATTTCTACTGTGAAGGATGATTATTTGAAAACCTAACTGACACCTTGAGAGTCCCAACAGAAAAGCACTGAGTGAAGAAATGGCCCTATCTTGCTTCTTGATAATGCAAGAGAAGTAAAATTCAAACACTGAGGCCTTTGAGGCCACCTCAAACCTCTGCATCTTCTCAGAAGTTATTTCTAATCTACTAGCCACCAGATTTCAATAACAACAACCAACACATGCATTTACTCAGTGCCAGCCTGCTGCTAATTGCTGCACACACATTATCTCATTTAATCCTCCCAACAACCCTATTAGGAGTTGTTGGTGTTTGTTTTTTTGTAATTGACAAATGGCGCTAAGTTTAGTTACTTGTCCAAATCAAACAGCTGGCAAGTAGCGGATCCAGGATCTCAGGCATTCCAGAACTGGTGTTCTTAATCACTACATTGCTCAGTCTCATAGACGTTTGTACTTTACGCTGTAAAACCTACCACTGCCTGTCCCTTGTCGCAGTAATTCGAAACTATACGCCCTGGTTTTATTACCCAACCCCGGTGTACTTAATGCAACTCCAAGAATCGAGAATGCGTTCAGTCGTCATTCGTTGAACCGCGTGACATAGATGGTAATTGCTTTAACCGACCTAGAATGGATAACTGGACAGAAGCAACTAGATCCCAGGCTGTGCGCCGCAGTCTTTGTAAAGGCTTATAGCACACTTTCAGGAACTTTTTTCTTTCCAGTCAACCTGAGTTTTCTGGAGAAGGGGCCCAGGGCCACCTTTCTTACAGCGATTCCAAAGAACCGGCAACCTTTTTCCCTAGGCCTCCTTCCTCTTGAGATCTAAACTCCAGTCCTCCTCCCGCAGTTTCACTTGGGTAAAACTACTCTCCTGCCCTCACATTTGCTCCTGAGCCCGAGCTCTGACAGCCACCGTTCGGGGGACTGTAGGCTCTTACCGTTAGTGCAAGGTCCTCTCCGCAGAAACATGTGCCAGATGTGATGTGTGCGCCGCCATCTTCCCGGAAGTGCCTCTCGGTCGTTCTAGGCTGTCGAAACCATAGAGACGCACGCCGGAACCGAACTCTCGGTCGTCCCCGGAGGAACTGTGTTTTGCACGTTTCAGAAGATCCGGAAAGTGCTCTGTTTACTTCCTCCCTGCAGGTCTGAACGGCCGTGGGACTTCAGTCCTGTCTGGCTATATTGGGATGCCGAGAACAGCTTTGGGTCCGACACTGACTAGTTCCAGGCACAAATATGAGGAAGGAAAACTTTAGGGGAAACCATCGAGAGTGGCCTGAGAGATTCGTGGAGGCAGAGAAGGAGGTAGCACCTCTGAGGTGATTTGCGGGGATGAATACTCAGCCTGCAGGGACAGGTATTTATAAAATCCTAGAGATGAGAGGTTTCAGTAGGTTCATCAGACACTTTTTTTTTTTTTTTTTTTTTTGGGGTACGCGGGCCTCTCACTGTAGTGGCCTCTCCCGTTACAGAGCACAGGCTCCGGACGCGCAGGCTCAGCGGCCATGGCTCACGGGCCCAGCTGCTCCACGGCATGTGGTATCCTCCCGGACCGGGGTACGAACCCGTTTCCCCTGCATCAGCAGGCGGACCCTCAACCACTGCGCCAGCAGGGAAGCCCATCAAACACTTTTTGACTCACCACGCTGTGCCAAGACCTGCCCCTTCTGGTACTGGTGATACAAAGATGCATAAGAGAGAGCCCTGATTTCGGGGTGCACCTAGTCTAGCCCAGGGAAAATCGGGACCTCGAGTGGGACTGGAGAGAGAGGGAGGATCCCGGAATCCATGCCAGGTTGAGGAGTTTGGACTTGCCTTTTAAGTATTAGGGTCCATTGAGCAGGGGAGGGAAAGAACATATTGCAAACAAATCAACAAGAGAGGCTGCACATGCTCTCATCCCCACAAACTGTTCCCAGGTTTCACTGAGCCACCCAAGAACTAAAACCTGAAAAAAAAAAAAATCCCTTATTTGCGTCCCTGTATCAGGATTTACGGTAACTTAGAGCCCGACCCACCCCCACCCCCACCCCCACCCCCAAGGAACTTCAAAAAGAAAAACTGCCGTTTCATAGTAAAGTTTTGTCATAATTGCTCAGTATGTCATACTCCCTCATCCCCATATGATTTTTTTACATAAAATTAATTTTACTTTTACAATACGCTACCTGGGAAGGAAAAATAAAGGGGGAATTCCCTGGCGGTCCAGCGGTTAGGACTCCGCGCTTTCACTGCCAGGGGTCAGGGTTCGATCCCTGGTCGGGGAACTAAGGTGCAGCAAGCCAGAGCAGCGCGGCAAAAAAAAAAAAGAGAGAGAGAGAAAATTCCATAGATAGGTCTTCAGTTTCCACCATTTTCCCACTCCATCTCCCCTATCTATCTACCTATCTATCTAATATATTATACTGTGGGCATAAAAGAGGTTTGAAAACTCCTGAATAGGGCAACCTCAAGGGCCCTTTCCAGCCCACAGTTTCTGTGTGGCATACTTTGCCAGCCACTCCAAAAACCTAATGGCCATAATTCCTTGACTCAAGATTCTTCCTCTGGCCTAGGACCTTGAACTCCTGTTCTGCCTGACTCACTCATTTGATAAACATTTATTAAGGGTCTTCTGTAGGCCAAAGGCTAGGGGGCCAGCCCTTGACCTGTTGGACCTCACCGTCTTGTGGGAGTGTAACAAGTTACCAGGCATTTATATGAGTGAGTGATGAGAGCTGTGGCAAGGTCAGGACACAGTGCCACAGGGGTAAGAAGAGAAGCCAGGGCCCCTGAGGGCTTCCTGAAGGAGCCTCTCCCAGCCTGTAAGCCTGTCCCTGGGGGCTATGTGGGACTGCAAAAGAAGAAATGGGCCTCCAGGAGTTCCAAGTTTCATGGGGTCTCACACTCCTCACAAGAGTTGTGAGAAATAAAAGGCATTGTAAGAGAACAAGAATACATGGCTATTATAAAGTGAGCTGAGGGTCTTTCTACGCCGCCATCTTGGCTGCTCTCAGTTCTGCATGCTGGGAAGTCCAAGCTCAAGGGACTGGGACGATCACCTTCTGGTGAGGTCCCTCTTCCTGATTCATACCCGGCACTTTCTTGCTGTGTTCTCTCGTGGGGGAAGGGGCCATGACTACTTATAAGGAAATAATCTAAAATGCAGACATAGCAAGATCAATAGAAATATTTATTACAGGAATATTTATAAAATGGAAAAATTGTAAAGAACCGAAATATCCACAACAGGAGAATTGCTAAATAAATTATAGTGTAACCGTACAATGCACTAATATGTAGCTTTAAAAGGAGTCTTAATAACTTGGGGGAAATGTCTATGATATGATTGAAATGAAAAAAGCAGGTACAAACTGGTTCCTGCATAGTAAGAGCCCATCTATGTTAAAAATACATAGGCAGGGCTTCCCTGGTGGCGCAGTGGTTGAGAGTCCGCCTGCCGATGCAGAAGACACGGGTTTGTGCCCCGGTCCGGGAAGATCCCACATGCTGCGGAGTGGCTGGGCCCGTGAGCCATGGCCGCTGAGCCTGCGCGTCCGGAGCCTGTGCTCCGCAACGGGAGAGGCCATAACAGTGAGAGGCCCGCGTACCGAAAAAATAGCTTTAAAAGGAGTCTTAATAACTTGGGGGAAATGTCTATGATATGATTGAAATGAAAAAAGCAGGTACAAACTGGTTCCTGCATAGTAAGAGCCCATCTACGTTAAAAATTCATAGGCAATGGCATCAAAAGGAATAAAGCACTTAGGAATTTAACACAATATAACAGAAGAAGAGCAAGAGTTGTACACTGAAAATTACAAAATGTCATTGAAAGAAACGAAAGAATAGCTACGTAAATGGTAAGATACATGTGTTCATGGGTTGAAAGACTTAAGAAGGTCACAATATTCTCCAAATTGGTCTACAGATTCAACACAATCTCTATCAAAATCCTAGCTAGCTTATTTTGCATAAGATGACAAGCTGATTTGGAAATTCAAATGGTAATGCAAGGAGTCCTTTTTCTCGAAAAAGAACAAAGTTGAACGACTAACACTTCTCAATTTCCAAACTTACCACAAAGCTATAGTAATCAAGGCTGTGGTTCTGGCATAGGCTAGATATAAAATCAATAGAATAGAAATGAGAGTCCAGAAATAAACCCATACATTTATGGGCAATTAATTTTCAACAAGAATGCCAAGACAATGCAATGAGGAGAGAATAGTCTTTTCAACAAATTATGCTAAGACAACTGGATAGCCACATGCAAAAACAAAAAAAATGAAGTTGGACCCCTACCTCGCATCATATGCAAAAATTAAGATGAATCAAAAACCTAAATGTAAGAGCAAAACCTCTAAAGCTCTTAAAAGAAAACATAGATGTAAACTTTCATAACCTTGGATTAAACAATAGTTTACTATCTATGAGTCCAAATGTATAAGCAACCAAAGGAAAAAAACATAAATTGGGCTTCATCAAAATTAAAACATTTGTGCTCCAAAGGACACCATCAAGAAGTAAAAAGAGGGACTTCCCCGGTGGCACAGTGCTTAAGAGTCTGCCTGCCAATGCAGGGGACACGGGTTCGAACCCTGGTCTGGGAGGATCCCACATGCCGCGGAGCAACTAAGCCCGTGCGCCACAACTACTGAGCCTGCGCTCTAAAGCCCAAGAGCCACAACTACTGAAGCCCGCGTGCCTAGAGCCCGTGCACCGAAACAAAGAGAAGCCACTGCAATGAGAAGCCCGCACACCGCAACAAAGAGTAGCCCCCGCTCGCCGCAACTAGAGAAAGCCCGTGTGCAGCAATGAAGACTCAACGCAGCCAAAGATAAATAAATAAATAAATATATTTAAAAAAAAAAAGAAGTAAAAAGACAATTACAAAATGGAAGAAAATATTTGCAATCATATTTCTGATAAGGTCCTAATATACAAAAAATACATGAAAAACTCTTACAGGGACTTCCCTGGTGGTGCAGTGGTTAAGAATCTGCCTGCCAATGCAGGGAACACGGGTTCAATCCCTGGTACGGGAAGATCCCACAGGCCGCGGAGCAACTAAGCCCATGCGCCACAACTGCTGAGCCTGCGCTCTAGAGCCCGTGAGCCACAACTACTGAACCCGCGTACCACAACTACTGAAGCCTGCGCACCTAGAGCCCGTGCTCCACAGCAAAAGCCACCACAATGAGAAGCCCACGCACCGCAACGAAGAGTAGCCCCCGTTCACCGCAGCTAGAGAAA